TAATTCTACTTTTGCCTTCATTTCCTTGTTTCCTGTTTTCTTATTTGACATTGTACTCTCTATTTTCTTAGTTTCTAATGGTATCCTCAAGGACTGGGGATTTAGCTCAATGGCACCACACCTGCCTTACAAGCTCAAGGTCCTGAGTTCAATCCTCAGTACCACATAAATAAATAAATGCATAATACTCTAATGGTGTCCTCAATCTAAATAGATATTCTACTGACACCGAGCCTCCAGGAATTCATCAATTACAGTTGAGGTTTCCTACTTGTAAAATTGTTTTTGCTCATGGTGGCTGTTCCAGGTGAGTTTGATTTTCCATATCAAACTTGTCAGTCTGTCAAACTTTGAGAGAGATTTGTTCCATGTCTTCACTTCCAAGACAAGTTGACTTTCAGTGTATTCAGCTCTGTTAAGACACCATGGTAACTTCCAAACTTCTTATATTTCAGGCCAGAAACTGCAAGTCCTACTATCCATTTTTACACGGGAAAAAAGATCTCTATCAGCTGATGCTGTCTTATTTTTTATATGTTATAGCAATTTGTACAGATTTATTCAGGTTCCTTCTCTGTAGTCAGTGAATTTGAGCTAGTTTTAGAATGATACATAAAATGGCACAGTCTTCTGCTAGTGTATCGAAGTCTAGAATCTTCAGGATTGTGAAGGTGATTGGAGAGGACAAGTATCCTGTTTGTTTGCTTTTTTGTGGTCTTTTGTCTTGCAGAGCTCTAAATTCGCCTTTAGATTTTTCCCATGCTGCCTGGTTGACAGAAGTTGTTCCTCTTAGTTTTAATCTTTTCTTTACCACAAGCTTTTGATGGCTGTCCTGTCAAATGATACAGCATGTCACATGGTAGCAGCATCGGAACACACTCTGCAAGGAGCAGTCTGTAGAAGCCATTGTGTAAATTTTCCTCAGTCTATGAATGACTCTATTCATAAGTCTTCCTAAGGCACCAACAGTCTAACTAGGCCCTGGGTAAATGTACCTTAAAATTCTGTGAATCAGAAATTTCTTCACTTTTGTCTTTTAAAAGATTTCTTCCTTCCAGAATATGGTTTGCTGAGATTTTAGGAAGCAAACCTCCTACTTTCAATACATGCAAAGTCTCAGTATGCATAATTCCCTGATCATACTCAACTAATGTCTATTTTTACATAGTAAGCACTTTCATGAACAAAGACTACCTAATCTTAGAAGTTCAAACCTGGGAGAGACCTTAGACATATCTAGTATGCTTAGAAATTGAGAATCAAGACAAGTAAAGCAACTTTAAAAATTCGTCCTATGTACTCACTGAGTCATTACCAGATGCTGGGTCTTCTAATTCTTGGTCCAGTATCTGTGTCTTTTGCTTTAATGCCTGTTTTGCAAAGGAAATGTTTCAACTTCAGTACTATGCTGAACTGTGCAATCATTAATAGGTTCTATGTAATTCTGTATCCTAAACAGAAAACTCAGATTGCATGTACTCCCCATAAGTCACTTTATTGACAAATAGAAATTCTGATAGCACATGTAACAGTTATTTGTTCAATAAGTTTGTGTCAAATCAGTCAAAAGAAATAACGTTTATTCTTACACCAATTAGTAAATGGATTATTTCTAGCAAGTATTATCATGGAATGTTTAAAATTTTTATCAACCTATGCTTCTACCTTAGTAGATGTAGATCTTCTGTGCATTATGAACTTGATGAGAACTAATAACTTTCCCTTTGAGTAGATGTCTCTTAACTAGGACACTTTATGTCTTTCGGATAATCATATTAAATCATTGTACTATGCAATGAAAACACAATAAACCTTCCATGTGACAGCTACACTCATAAAGAGTAAAAAGTTTCAATTTTGGTGAATTCACAATGAGGCCTTTTCTTCTACCATGTAAAGTACAAGTATAGATGAAAGCAGGATAAAATTCAAGGTGGACTTTGACCCACTAATCTAGCTATGTAATACATGGGCCTTTTTTAATATAGGCTTTACCCAAGGGATGAAATAAACAAATTGATTTTGCTACAGATACTTATCTGCTATCACTGTCACCTAAGGGTTCTTAAATACATTAGTGAACAGTGCTTTGTGTTAAAAGAAAAAGGAATGTGCAGCAGTCTTTAAAAACTGGGTTTCATGAAGCACCAGTCTTTAAACTGGGTTTCATGTAGGGTTTCTCACAGTGTCAGCATTCAACTTTCCACCTACCCATTTATAAATTTTCATGAACACTCCAATGAAAATATGCCACTAACCCTGAAGGAAGCTAGAGTCCACTTTGAGACTTTGGTGCTGAAATGATGGCAAGTCATAAACAGTCACCACTGACCCATTTCCTCGGTGAAGTTTCTCATTGCAAACTCAACAACAACTGTTGACCTCAAGACCCAAAGAACATCAATTACCCAGCCTACTGAGGTGGGATACAGTGAACCGGCAGAACCATTTCACTGCTACCCAACTCACATCTTATCATGGGTTGAAAGCAATTTGTCCCATATTTAAACTGCTGCAGAGAATTCTTTACTAGGTTTTGGATAGGTTTGCCTTCAGTTGGATGATTTGAATAGCTTCTGTGGTAGGAGAGATGTTGCCCTCAGATAATGATTTTGCATTTCTCCTCACCTTTAATGGTTTGAACCTCAAGGGATGTCACTGTGCTTTTGATGAAGGTCAAAGCATTTTATAACCTTAATAAAAGCTCATAGCCTCGGGAACAGCAAGTGTGAGTGAATATGGGGGACTGAATAAAAATATAACTAAATTGCCACTTTAGACTATATCAGCTTCAAAATTTCAAATGCAAATCTCAGTTAGAGAATATAATGGTGCCCCAAACTTTGGTACTATGACAAAATATATGCACACAGAAATTGGCATTATTAAAAGAAAAGCAAGATAAATTGTCTTTTTCTCCTCTGGGACCAGTTTTTTCTCAGACACTTTATATTCAGTTGTCGAGTATTTTACATAGATACTATTCAGATCGAAGTTAATAAGGACGCCAATAGATATGAATTGAAAACACTGATCATGGTGGTTCTTAATTATTGTAATTTTGTTCCTATACAGAGTTTAAGTTGCTGTATTTTGATGTGTGAAATGAATACAAGGTAATAAGCAAAAAAGATTATGCGAAATACATGATCATCTACATTTCCCAAGAGATAAGTCACTCTATCCCAAACATTACTAATAAATTACAGCTTTCAATGGATTATTTAAGGGCACCCTCTGGGGAAATCATCTTAACATAAATGCAGCGAACCATCTTTTTCCAGTTTTCCTAAGTTTCTAGTGCCTTCCTTCAGGCATAGTTCATCTCATCCGAAATAATTATGTTCCCAGAAACTGAGAAAGGAAACAAATGTTGCCATTCTAGGAACGAGGATAAAATAATATTTTATCTTCTTTGACCTTCACATAAACCCTTAGAGAAAAGCACCATTATTTGTATTCACAGAAATGTTGAATAATTTTGCAAGGTTATACTCCTGATGAGTATCAGAGCTTAGTCCTGTTGAATTCTTCTGTGCTTTCAAAAGCATATAACAATAAACCTTATTGTTTACTGTCCCAATAAATGTGAGGAGTCCAGGAAAGTTGCAGAAGGACCTAGACTAGGGTAGTAGTTGAAATGCAGGCAATGACCCTATGAGAAGGAGGACAGTTGTCCAGAGGGTTCCTTCTCAAGTTCAATACCCAGGACACTAGACTAGGAGGTTGAACTGAGGGGAAAGTAAACCATCATTCAATTTATCAGCATGAAGCAGAAAAATCACATAGCCTTCTAAACTAGCAACTTAGAGAGGGCCATTAGATTACCAAATAAATTATTATACAAGTTATAGGATAGATTCAATTCTTCAATTTTATTCATCCACTATTTCCATTCAAGCTAAATGGGGGAAGGGTATAGATCTTTTAATTTATCCTGAGTATCTAAGACAAATATTTGCTAACAAGTAAATTCTTCATAATGTGTAATGAATGAAGATGATCAAAATTGAAGCGAGGCAGAGGACAGAATTTAAGGATGGGCTTCAAACATCTTCCCTGAGCCTGAGCCTGAAGGTACTTTGTCTGGGATAATACCCAAAAGTTCCAGAATTTAAGAACAATTCTTATTATCTTTAACTCCTTTATGAAGTTCTATCATGTCAGTACATGCACTATTAGAACAGAAACTGCTCTTGAGCAGGCCACCTTTGTGCTACAGAGCAAAAATTAATTTAGTTGATTACTTTATCAATGTATTCCTATTGATTTTGGAACATGTAGTTATATCCAGGTAGTCTATTTCCTGTTACTTTCAATTCCATAGATTTGAGGAATTTATAAAGAAAAGCAATTTATTTCTTGCAAACTAGCAATTGGGAAAAGCAGAACACGATGGTGGTAAGACATGAGGGAGATAGGAAAGAGTGAGATTACTTTTATAATAAAACCACTCCTTTTATAATTAACCTACTCTCTTTATGGTAGCATAAATCCATTCATGAAGGTGGAGCCTTCATGACCTAATCACTTCCATCAGACCTCTTCTTCCAATGCTTGCTCCAGAAACTAAATATTCAAAATATGGATTTGGTGCATATATTCAAACCCTGAAACCTGCTTTTAAAACAAATACGATACTGTCTTTTCTGGGTTATACTCTTGAGCTTTAATAAGCACTATGTCTCAACTGAAGTCCTAAAATGTTTTATAAAGTTTTATGTTAACAATGAGTCATTTATTCATTTATTTTCAAATATATATTAATGTCTTGCTTTGGGAATAAAATATTTGAATAGTTATTATAATGCATACTAATGGGGAGGGAAATAGAAAACTATGCAAGAATTTACAATGGTAAAAGATTTTTGGATAAGGACAAATAAGGAAGACAGAAAATGTATTTTAGTATCTTTAGTTCATTCATGGTTTTTTATTATTACATATAGAAAATGATATTTTCAACAAAACATAATACATAATATGTCATTCCATCTTAGCATCCAAAAGCCTGTCTTAGAACAGGGCTTGACTTCATAAACATTATGGATATTGAGGTGAGTTGTTGTTCTTTGCTTTCATGAGTGAAATGTTTAAACTTGGATGTGCAATCACTGCCCAGAGTTATAGGCACTAATTTTGTCCTTTCCTGATCTTGTCTTTCACTTTCTTGTCTTTCATTCTCTTGTCCTTCCTCAGCAACCTCAATAAGTAGGATGTGATGAGATAAGAATAAATAAATACATGAATTATCAAATACTCCTTTGACATATTGGTCATCTGATGATATTTTACATAGCCAATTATCTTACATATTTATCTTCTGTATTAAACAATTAGGTTATTAAAATTAGAGCTTTCTTATAATACGTAAGTGTTAGAGCACGTATTTCCTCATAAATGTAATTACATTTTCATTTGTTTGTTTTTTCCAGTATTCCCAATGCAAGTGAATGTGTTAGGCAGTGATAAATGTGGGTTCTTTCATCTGTATCTCCCAAAAGATTGCTTTTTGAACATTGGCTAAAAAAGGCTGACTTTTAGTACTCCAAGACAAAGGAAGTTCATTTAAAGTTTTATGCCAAATTGTCTTTCTCTCCAGGGCCTCAAACATTATCTCAGTGATAATTGCTAAGTTTTATATAATGAGATATTCAGTTAACATTAATGGTATTGTGTTGGGTCCGTTAGGGATCTTATTTATGAAGCTAGATACAAATTCTTTTAATAGGAAAAGCTAATTTTTCACAGCGTTATAATGAATGTTTCAGTCCATGCTAGCTGTTAAGATTCCCTCTCTCAAATCTACAAATTAGGTATTATTTTTAAAAGGATTAAGGTATTTTAAATGCCAAATCCCTTTCTCTTGCTTTAAGAAATATTTTTTAAAACTAAAAATGATGTAAGAAAGACATTAAACATGTTATTTTTACACTTGAAAATTAGTGAAAAAAATAACTGACTTTTGAAGGACTGGGAGGAAAGAAAGAATATATGAAGAACTGAAACTGTACCTATAGGGAATGATACTCTCCTCTAGTTTACAGAAAGCAGGGAGAAAAATTAATCTCAGTTTAACAACCCCAAGATGGAATTATGTTTAGTAAATCTGTTCATGCAATTAAAGAACAATTCTTGCTTCATAGCATAAAGAAATGTAGCACATGTTGTCTTTAGAAACAAAAGCAAAAAAAAAAAATAATTTCATCATGTAGTGCCTAACAGGTTGTGGATTATTTATAATAAGGATATGAATATCAGCCTCTGGATTTGAATGAATAGCCTACCTATTTATTAGAAGTAATGATCAACCTCTAAAAGCTTATGCTTAGTAGTTTGAACTTCTTTATTTCATCATATGTCAAAATAGTCACAATATTCCATTTTTCTTCCTATATTATGCAGATTTGAGTATGAAGATGGCATGGTTTTAATTCTCCATTAATCATCAAACCAAATTTGCACTATAAGAAGTTTTATTGGAGCTTTAAAAATAATGATAGTTGTTAATAATCACTAAAAGCCTAGTCACAGAAATTTTTAAAAATGAGCAAATTTCATGATGAGGGAACTCACACACAAAATTTAAAACCCACACAAATATCCAAACATGTGACAAAACGTTTAATTTTATAAACAATGCAAGTAGACACAATGTCTCTACTTTCCCTGGCAAACTGGCAAATATCTTATTAAGGATACATTCGAATTGACTAGTAATTTTTAAACTGGGTAATGGAACTCGGGACCTTGCACTTGAGAGTCAGGCACCAAAGCCATTGAGCTAAATCCCCAGCCCTAACAAGGCTTCTTTTATTAAACAGATGGATGTACTCCTGTGCCAAATGGATGGTAAGAGTGAATTTTTAGGAAAGTTTGATTATATATACCAAAAATCACTAAATGCTCATATATTTTTATCCAGATATTTCAAATCTAGGAATTTACTCCAAGAAAATAAACAGTTGATAATAAACTGACATTAATGTTAATATAGGTATTTTTGTAAGGATGAGATATTATAAAAAGAGGATACTTAAGAATAAGTATTTAAATAAATTATAGTATCTTTTGTCACAATAAAATCTTCTTTGCTAACCTAAGAAACATTTTTTAACATAACAGAGAGGAGAAAAATCAGGGTTCCATTTCTATATATGACAAGATTACAAGTTTAGAAAATAAATAAATAAAAATCTTAACATGCCATATAGGACAAAAAGACTAAATGGAAATTTGCCCAAACATTAGTTGTGATTTTTTTTTTTTGCAAGAGAGAAAGAGAAGGGGATGTGTTATTAAAACCTCGTGGTGGGTGCACTGTGTGTAGGTGCTCAGTGAGAAGCAGATGTTCAAGTGAAGCTGAAAGATAAACAGTCAAACGTGGTCATTAAATATCTGCAAATTCGAGCCTTGCCAAGAAAACCTCAGACACAATTCTCAGGGTAATGTATGAGTGACCAAGGAAAACAGCATGAACACTTTCTCATGAAACAACCATGAGATTTTGCATACTTAATACTTGCAAGGCTGTGAAAATGTTTGCCTTCATGACCTGATGTGAAAGATCCACAAGCATAAGATCGCCTCAAAATTCAATTTTCCAACTTTGCTGCAAGACTGAGGCAGGTTCTGCTGGTGATTTCCCCAACTTTTCTGAGTTTGGGCTTCCTGGTGAGGCCAGACTTGGTCTCACTGAGTCAACATTCCCTCTAGGACATATTGTTGTATTATTTATATTTCCCTTGTATGTGAAAATAGAGACAACTTTCAGTAAGGCTATTGATAGTTTTCTCAGAAAATGTTATTTTCAGTCCATGTTTTGTGTTTTCCTTTCTGTGTACTTTTTCATTGTTTATAGTTCTTCATATGAACCCTTACTTTCATTTCTCCATCCAAATCTTCAAGGACTCTTCTTCAAGGACTAAGATCTTGCAGTTTTTGTGAAAATTTGCTTGATGTAAGAGTCCTTTGTATAGTCCTCCCTTAAACCTCTAAGCATTTTAATAATTGATCATGGAGTAAATTTTTCCATAGCTTCACAACAACCAGTATGTTGAAAGTGCTAGAAGGAAGGAATCTTGATGTATATTTGTTCTGCTTTTTTCCTAGTGCCTACCACGATGTTCATCATACTCAATGAAGGGAAAGTGAGTAATGTTCAAAAACATGAAGTGTAGTTTGATGTTCCTGCAGCATGTTTTTGTCAACAATTCAATATATTGTATAGCGTGTGATTTTTAAAGAAACACTCCAAAGAATTTGAGAGAACCGGAAACAGATGGGTGTTCATTTCAATATGGCAGGGGAACATTTCCAATGCAAAAGGACTGCTTCTTTCTACCTCCTCCTGTGTAAACTCTGGCTTGCTGCACCTTAATTATTTAACAGCCTCTGCCTGGCATAAAACCAAAAGAGACTGGCTCATTAATACTCCTGGAAAGAATGTGTGCCTTTAAGAAACGCATGAATATTTCATTGTCTCTGTCAGTGCTCAGAAGATGGCACAATTATCTAGGAAACCGAATGGTAATTTCTATATTAGCTTCCCTAAGCTCCTTGTGTGCATACCCCCAACAATCATCTCTGTGAACTCACCTTTGACAGGTGACATAAATGCAAATCAGAATCTGAAGTAGGACAATCATTGAAAGGAAGAAACCTAAAGAAAGATACTTGCATTAAACTGGGTATGCCAGCTCAATAAAAGCTCAAGAGAGATGTATAAAATTTATCTTACCATAATTTCATACTGCATTTGACAACAGTTACAAAAATCAGAGAGGTAAGTCTGGCCATGGATGATGGCTTACTAGAGGACTGAAAAGATTTTTATTTTTTCTCATTTTTATTTTCTTTTTAAAGATGATACTGGAAATCAAGATAACTCTGTGGAGTTGGAGTGCTTACTGCAATGTTTTCCCACCCTCTCTTTTCACACTCTTCTCTCTACTCTCAAGAGCCATATGATTGGGGCCATAAGGAAGAGCTGCTTTACTCAAATATACCCAAGCAGTGAGCCAATTTTGAAAATAGAAACTGGAAGAAAAAAAAAAAAAGAAAGCAAAGTGTGCCATATTTCAAAGTATCCCAGGCCTACAATGGTTAATGAATTATAATATAGACCATAGGACATAATAATGATAAATCTTGCATTGGTAAAGTATGTTAAATTTTCTAAGTATTTACTCCACTGACAATGTATATTTCTTATATTAAAATTCCTGAAAGAGCCCAGGTATCATTTTCCCATTTTGTAAGTGAGAAAGACAACATATGGAGACGTTAAATGATTTGCCTTAAACAATACATAGCTATCTGATGGTAGTCTTGAATATAAAATGCACAGTTTTTAACCAGTTCAGATCTCTCTAGTGCAAACTGAGCTGTATTTCTAGGGTATATTCTGTTCCTGACAAGTTAAAGACAATATTTTTGAGGAAAGACTAACCCTTCAATTTAAGTATTATAATTTCAAACAGTGGGATAGTATTAGGTTTATGACCTAACTTAAAACTTTGAAGCATCTCTAATTGATTATTATTTTTTTCTTTTTTGAAATTAATTTACTGGTATGTTTTAGATATACATAAAGATCACATTCACCATGAGAAGGAATTTTTACTTGTATATAAATATCTTTTTTATGTACAAAGTTATTTATTTATAAAAATTTTGGTACAATGTACATTGGAAAATGTAAAATATTAAAATGTCTAACAAGTGGCACTGAAGTATCTTTAATAAAGGTTCATTTATAAATGTTAAGTTTATGGCTAAGGTCATTCTTTCTCTTGTAGATGTCATTCTACTTTTAACATTTTTTTCCTAAAAAGGAAAAAAAAAAAAAACTTTGGCAAAGCAGCAGTGTGTACTGTTGCTAAAGGAAGACACCACTACTAAACTCCTGAGATGCCTCCCTGCAGTTGGCTAACACTGGACCCTATTAGTTCAGTCCTCAAATCACCAACTATGCTGACTTTTCCATATCTTCCATTCTGCTTCCAGTGTTGAGCACGTAAATTCAGCCACAGACTCTATTGAAACAATCAATGCTGTGCTTAATCCATGGAAAATGGAAAGGGGCTCTGCTTCCCAAGGCCACCGAGAGCCTGCTGAGCCATCAGAGCTGCAGGGATGCATGCTTTCATGTGCCGCAGGGATTGGTGGACACATCCTTGTAAAATAATACAATCACATGTTGTTATTGATGAAATAATTAAAAACAGTAGCATGATGACCGGAAAGTATGCTTGCTATGCACCTGTAGTTCATTCCTTTTAAACAAAGCTGATACCTTACACAATAGGAATTCATCCAGGGAGAAATAGCTACATGCAGAATTTTTGCCCCACACCTCCTTCCTTTTCCTTGTGCAGCCCTTGTTTTAAAATTGTAACCGTCCTGCCAGCCGGGGATGTAGTGCAGGAACACCGCGCTTGCTGGGCAAGCTCAAGGCCCTGAGTTCAACTGCCAGTCCACAAAAATACATAAAAGGAAAATAAATTGGAACTATCTTGCTGTCCGCTGCATCCACCATCAGGTGGCAGGAAATGAAAGGTCAGATTAAATGAAAGCTAAGAAGGGCTGGGCCTCAGCATCACCAGACCTATTTATTGAGGGATTCTGAGAAGACAGTTCAGAGTTTTACTGTGGCCATAGTTTCCTTGTTCTGGATACCGCAGGTGACAACATTACTCCAGGCAGCCTGTGGCTGATGCATTCTCAAGGTCGAATTCTGCTCTTCAGAAGATTGAGCGGCAGCACATTGTAGGCAGGGTTCTCGCTGCAGACCCCTCTCCTCTGGTAAGCACATGCATAGCCTCTGCCTCACCAACTCTGCGCACTTTGAACAGCATGCGGTGGGCTTGGTCATAAGCACCCAGAAAGCTGAAACTTTTCAGGGGAAGACACCAGCGAATAAACCCCCTTGGAAGGCAGAGAGTACGTTCCCACTTACAGTGCTGGACCTAACCTTTGCCAACATAATTCCTGTCTCTGCCACATCCAAAGGTGTGGTTATTACAGCTGAAAAGCCACCTGCAAAAGCTCCACACACTGCTGACTGCCAAGAATCTGCCACATGATCCTGCCACCAGGACCAGAGGGCCTTTAAGTACTCCACAAGGGAAACTGGACCAAGGAAAAAGGAATCTCTCTTAAGACTGCTTTTATAGCCTCAATATAATCCTTGGAACCGCTCTTCATACAAGATGTTAGAGAAAATCTGAAATGTTCTTGAAGCAGATACCTGAGGCCTCTGCTTAACCACTTCAGAAGGAACTCACATCAGGCAGGCAACCACTTCTCTAGCAGAGGCAGCCAGCATATGCTTCCTAGGCATCAAGTATGACGATGAATCAATGCGCAAAAACCATTTCACATATTCATAGGTGAGGACAAATGCAGCAGCACTAGGAAAGGATCCAATAGCAGTAGAAAGCACACCAGCATATATGCCATGAAAACCACCGGCCATTTTAAATCCTTGGGGACTCTGCAGCCTGGTTTAAATGGTATCCAGAGGAAACAGTATCAAGTCAACAGAGGCACCTGCTACCCCACCAACCACCAGCCACCAATGAGAGCACAAACCCCTGTTTGGTTTATTTCCCAGCATGCCCCGTCAAGGTTACAATTAGAAACTAAGCAGAAACAGAAGCCTCGCACAGCCCTGTGCTCTGAGCACCGCCATTTTTGTAGTTGTACATAACATATCTTGTTTCCTCTTTCTTTCCCAATCCTCTCCTCTCTTCAACTCCTCTACCTCTAGGCATTTACAAAAAGTTTGTTTCCATTTTTTCTATTCTACTTTTCCTTCTTTTCTCTTCCTTCCATTTTCCCTCCCCTTTTCATTGTTCTTTTACTAGTTGAATGTTTTCTTCCTATTTCTCAATATCTATCATATATTTTGGGCTTTATTGACACCTTTGGTTTCTCACACCAGAGAAGTAATATGATATTTAAATATGTATCTTCGATTTATTTCACTTAAGGATCTGAGTTCAAGGTACATCCATTTACTGAGAAATGTCTCAAGTGCATCCTTCTTTATGTCAGAGTAGTACTCCAATGTATAAAAAAATCCCATATTCGTTATCCATTCATTAGTTGATGGGCATTTAGGCTGTTTCCAAGATTTAGCTATCACAAAATATGCTGCTATAAACATAGGGGTGTACATATCACTGTGCTATGATACTTTCAGGAGAATACCAAGAAGAGTAATAGCTGGGTCAAATGGAACTTCTTATTCTAGTTTTTTGAGGAACATCCGCACTGACTTCCACAGTGGTTGCTCCAGTCTGCACTCCCACCAGCAGAGGAGAAAGGTTCCTTTTACCCACAGCCCCTCCATTTGTTATTGGTTGATTTCCTGATAATAACCATTCTTTCTAGAGTGAGATGGAATCTCAGTGTTGTTGTTGTTTGCATTTCTAAAATGAACAGTGATGTTGGACACTTTTTCAATATTTCTATCCTATTTCTACTTTATCTGAGAAGTATCTGTTCATTTTCTATGCCCACTTATATTTGGGAGGTCCATTTTGTTTGTATATTCTTTATATATTAGATATTCTAGATATTAGTCCTTTGAGGAACAGCTGACAAAAATATTTTGCTACTCTGTGGGTTGTGTCTTCACTCTGTTTATTGTTTTGGGGTTTTTTGCTGTGAAAAAGCTTTTATAAATAAGATGCAATGCTAGCTATTTATTTTTTGTGATATTTCCTGTGCAGTTTTGTTAATAACATCTTTGCTTATAACAGTGTAAGCTCAAAAAGTTCAAGAGTTCTACCTTTTGCATTTTCCAGGAGATTTAGTGTTTCTGTTTTAATATTTAGGTATTTCATCAATTTTTATTTTAGTTCAGTTCATGGAGAGAGATATGGGTCTAGGTTTAGTCTTTGGAATATGGAAAGCCATTCTTCCCAGCACCATTTATTGATCCTCAGGTCTTTTTTATTGTCAGGACCATGAAGTTTTTAATCACACTGTTGATAAAAACTAAATACATCCCTCAACAATACCCAAAGATTAAAATTTCCTATAGTTTGCAATTTTATTTTTGATTTATTACCATAATTTGCACTACATTTGCTTTTTTACTGTGGCCAAATCAGCTTTGCATGTAGACAAAGATAAAAAATAGTACTGATGGAATTCAGAGCCCAAAGACTACCTTCACCCATTTTGTCACCAACTATCTACTAAACAAGGTCTCAGATAAAGTCATGGTGTTCTATGGTCTGCTGTTCCTATGACTCTGGAAATACAATATAGTTCCCTGTCTAGAATGAATTGGAACACAGATCCAGGACAAAAAGTTCTAGGGCCAAACCTAATAAAGTCCAGCCCTACAAAGTGAAAAGGGTTTCAGGCAGCCTGAGTGGGCTTCTCAGATGGAAGCAGCCCTCAAATCTTCACTACTTATAGCTTTCTAACTAATACATATTTAGCAGGTGTGTTGAATAGTCAGTTATTTGTAGGTAGTTAATTGTTGTAAACATGAAAGAATCAGAGAAAGGAAGACAAACACAAAAACTGGAAAGATTATATGCAGTTAAATACTTAAAATGTAAATGTCACAATGCCCTTATTGAGCTTTTATTGTCCAAAATTCTCAGCTTGAGAAGTAGCAAAACTGAATTCTAAATCCAGATCTGCCATTAACTATGAATAAGCGAGGCTCTCTGCCTAAATTTCTGAGCTGAATTAGGATTAGATGCCTCATGTGAAAATTAAACATGATACAAGCAGAGGTGCTCTGCAAGTAGTAATTCATTTGCATTAATAAGATTAATGCATGAAGCAAAGATAAAAACTGACATGAGAGTACATGGGAGATTCTTAGAGATGGGGTAATCAGGAAGGCTAGAGAGAAAGGGTGGGGAATGTGATGAATGTGATCGAAGTGTAATGTGTGAAAATGCCACAATGCTTTATAAATAATATATACTAATCACACACAAAATAAGTGAAAAATTTAACTACTCAGGAATATGTAAGTCTTTTATGGCATAATATAACTGTGCAATTTTATATACTGATAAAACAGCAATTGCTAGCAGTCCAGAAAGTAATATTAAAATATTTACAGATTAATGTTCTAAAGTATCCTTAGTCAAATCTATCAGAATTCTTGTAAATAGAATTACTTCTCTAATTTCTAATTTATCCTATCATTATTTCTGAAAAATAATTCCTGTCAAATTCTTATCTCTGAAATGTAATACTCTACTATGTATTTTCCTCAGAGTCTCATGTCCCATCAAATAACCTAGAAGTCCATTGTGGCTAAATATTAATCAAACATGTATTATATTCCTGCTGTGTTCTTGGTGTCCATTTTGTTTTAGGGAGCATAGGTAGAGAAAAGACACCCCTGAATGTAGGTGAGTTAAAATCTAACTTCACAGGAAAGGGGTTAAAATGTACAAATCACTTTAGGGTTAGAAGTGGAGTTAGGTTTAAAATGA